AGGTGAGGCTGACAGGTCAGTACTTCCCAGGGCCTTCCTTTCTACACTTTCTGAAAATGAGTGCAGTGTTTCACTTTTTCCAGTCATCAGCGACTCACCTGACTACCAGGACTTATCAGGAATCACGGAGATTGGAATCAGGAATCTTGGCAACTGCATCAGCCAATTTCTTCAGGACTCTGGAACACATCTCATCAGGTTCCATAAGCTTATGTACGTTCAGGTTCTTCAGGTGGTTGTGAACCTGATTTTTGCTTAAAGCAGGAGGGGCTTTGCCTCCATGGTTTCCATCTTGTGGTCCATCAACATGGAAGGCGTGAGGGGATAGATTGCCAGTGAAGTATATGGCAAAAAAGTTGCTGAGTACCTCAGCCTTCTCCTAGTGTGTTGTTACCAGCTTGCCAGCTGTCTTCATCATAAGGGATACACTTTCTCTGACCTTTCTTTTCTGGTTGTCATACCTGTGGAAACCCTTATTTTTTGTATCTTACCAAGTTCAGCTCCAGCTGTGCCTTGGACTTCCTGACCCAAGCCCTACACAACCGAGCAGCATCCCTATACTCTTCCCAGAATGCCTGTCTCTGCTTCCACTGTCTGTGGATTTCTTTCTTGCATTTTAATTTGACCAGCAGGTTTTGACTCATCCATGCCTGTTGCTTGCTTTCCTTGCCTGTTTTCTTGCACCTGGGAATTGAAAGCTCTCATGCTCTATGGAAAGTGTCATTAAAGATCTGCCAGCTGTGTTCAGCTCCCTTGTCCTAGAGGGCAGCTTCCCAGGAGGTTGTGTTGATGAATTCCTTGAAGAGGTGGAATTTTGCTTTCCTAAAATGTGGGGTCCTGACATTGCTCTTCATATGATCCCTATCCCTCAGGACTGTGTATTCCACCAGTGCTTGATCACTGCAGCCCAGGCTGCTTCCAGTCTTGACACCGTTAGCCCCCTTCTGTTGTTGACCCTCAAGTCCAGTATGGCATCACCTCTGGTATGCCTGTTTATTTCCTGGCTGAAGAAGTTATTCTCAGTGCACTCCAGGAGTCTTCTGGATTGCCCCCAGCTCACTGTGCTACTTTTCCCGCAGATCAAGATGGTTGAAGTCCCTCAGTAGGTTGAGAGCCTACAAGTGCAAAGCCTTCTGTAGTTTGCTTAGAAGGCTTTGTCAATAGGCTCTCCTTGATTGGGTGTCCTGTATTAGACGTCAGTGACAGGTCTCTAATTCTTAACCATAAGCTTTCAGCTTGCTCATGGCTGTTCTTCAGGGACAGCTCTTCACACTCTAACCATTTCTTGATGTAGAGGGCAGTGCCTCCACCCCTCCTTCCTAACCTGTCCCCTCTGAACAGCTGTAGCCATCAATAGCCATGCTACAGTCATAGGATTCATTCCACCAAGTTTCAGTAATGACAACCAGGTTGTAGCTTTCTTGCAGAATAGTGGCTTGCAGTTCCTCCTGTTTGTTGCCCATGTTGTGCGCATTGGTGTAAAGGTACTTCAGCTGGGTTGTTGGCCACGTTACCTTCTCAGAGGAACTCCCCTTAATACCCTTGAGGTATTTCACTTGTGTTTCCCTGTTGGTCCCTAATGCCCCCAGAGCCCCTGTCTCATCTCTGTAGGGCTTTAAGTGTCCTGCAGTCTCTCCAGCATGCCTTGGAGCAACAGTTTCAGGGTATTTACTGCCACCCTCTCCCTCTAACCGTGGTGTGGCATCTCACATCTTGTGGGGTTGTCACAGGCAAACCTGATATTATCCCTCTCTCTCTTCAAGGGGGGGTGATAGGTCTCAGTCAGGAAAGGTATCAGTCTGTGCTGTCCTATAATCCCTGGAAGCACTCCCAAATGACAACTGGGGAGGGAAGGGCAGGTGAACTGGATAATCTAGTACATGTGCTTTCAAACGCAGAATGAACACATTATCAACAGTCTTGCCTCATACCTCTTTCCACATTCCACTTCCCCAGCTTGGTCACATTTCAGGTACATCTATACCCACTTTATTAGGTGGCATGTCGTCTTCTCTTCCAAACTAGGCAAAGGATTTCCTTGGCTGCCTCAAGATGATCAGGCTGCTGTCTTATCCCAAGTTTTTTCGCAACCTGCATATCTGTATTCTTATATTGAAATTTTGTGTGGTAGCCCATTTACACTTGCTGTTGGTGAGTCAAAAAGAATATATATTTACACCTTGCAAACTGCATTTTTGCATAACTTTCATGACTGGTGCTATAATTTTTAATGGTTGAGGTAATTGTTGGCTAGAGAATTTATCTTTTGGTTGTCTTTGGCTTCTGAAGTATTTACTAAGGTCCTGGTGACAGCTATGACCCATCTTCACCATTGTGGTGGTGTTGTTTTGTTTAGTTTGTGGGTTTTGTTTGTTTCTATTTTTTTAAATAGCAATTAAACCTATCTAATCTCATGGGTATTCTGGATGATTTGTGATTCCAAGGGTTTCTTGGCTTGAAGCTGCTATTTGGCAAGTATTGACTCTATAGCATTCCATATTTTGGAACCCACCACCTGTGTGTTAAATAGATTCCTTGGATGCTCAAAATAAATTTAGAGGAAGTGGTGTCAAAACAAAAAAAAATGGCAAGTCAAGCTATTTCAGTTAAATTGTGTAGAGGAGCAAATGATGGAATTGAGCAGTTTGATCCATGAAAAGTGAGCTTTCAAACAAATCACAAGCAGAAACCATCCATATGAAAGGAAAACAAAAGAAAAAATGGGGCTTGAAGGTGATGTAGGTAAAATAAATCATTGCCCATTGAAAACTTGTGGTCTTTTTCTGTTAAACTGAGGCATAAGAGAGTGTATGAGTACTCCTTACAGGAAGTTAATTATTGCCTGCAAAATTTGAGTATTTAATGAAGCCACAAGTAGAATACGTTGCCATGTTCTTGCAAAACAATATTCCTGCAAACAATTAGTGCATTGGAGAATAAAATTATGTTTTCCTTTGTTTTTTGATCTAATTCAAGTTTTGTTATTATCATGTTTCTTACAAATGCTAGCCTTTGCATAATGAGGAATACTCACTTCCCAGCATAAACAGAAGGATACCATGGGCTTTGTTTTTCAGTAATGTAACAGGAACAAAGGACTTATATAATTCTACTATCACAGTTCCTTGTCAAACTGAACTGAAAGCAAAAAGTTGGTTCATATTCATACTTGTATGGGGGTAAGCAGATTCAGGCAATTTTTCAGCTCTGCTGAAATCAGTGAGCTTTTACTTGAGTTTAGTGGAACTGGCCGCCTTCTAAAACATTTTATGGCATTTTATTTAAGGACATATGCCTTTAATTATTTTTTTTTTTTTTTTAAATTGGATATTAAAAACACTAAGACAAATAATTCCTGTGTGTTACACAGACTTCCTTGTGTTTAGTTCTAAACTACGCATTAAAGAATTTGAGCAAGTTTGGGTTTTCTCACTAAATAAGTCTGATCTCTGCTTTCTCTGAATAAGAACTTTGCATGAATTTTAATAGGATTAGGTCCAAGATGTATAAATAAGAAGTTTGCTTCCTTAAATATGTGAAAGGCAGGAAATGTTCAGTAAAAATCTTTCTTCCTCCCTGTACCTGTGTCATCTTAAAGCTTTGTGACATGCAAACTCTGATTATGTTCCCAAACTTTTTATACAAGAATGCTGATTTGATTACCTCCCCCTCTTCGAACAGCAGCTGGGAAATCAGTGAGAGCTTTGTGTGCATATAAGATGGCAGAGTTTGAATCACCTTGATGAGATCAGTGTTTGTGAACATTAGGGTTCAAAATCAGAGCTTAATCCCACAAACTGCTCCACATTCACAAATGACAGGAATTCCTTCTGGTCACAGCAGTCTATGTGCACAGAGAATTCATGGGGTGGTAGGCTTTGTTATTTTGTCCGTGGATTTGGCTTACAGGCAGACCTTAACTCTTAGCACTGAAGGGCATGTATCTCATGATCAAACTCCTATGTGATAGCAGTCCTTAGGCTATTTTAACAGAAATGTCTCATGGCCTGAAATTAGTAGCTATTTGGCTTAAAAATTAAAGCATAAAGATAGTATCTTTTCATCTTTGTTTTCACTCACTGTTCAAAAGATAGAAATTTTTCTGAAATACAGTGCAAGGACATGAGTATAAATCTTCGAAAACAAAAGGTATTATAGGAATGTTCTCATATCACTAGCCATATCATAGGACTGGACATTCAACATTGGAAGGTGTAATTAATGAGTTGACTTCTGCATGACCACTGCTATTATTATTATTAACTGTGCTGCAGAAAACTTTTGAATTCCATTTTCAGCTCCAGATGCGTAGAAATGTTAACTACGAAAAGCTCACTGAGCTTCTGTATTTGAAGACAATGTCTAGCTTTTTGCAAAAGTGTTTTTCATTTTAGTTCGTATTGGTATACTCTTAAGAGACAGAATCATTGGAAGATAGATAATGAGAAGGGAAGTATAATGGTGGTTCACAAGATTATTTTTTATATCATTGTTGCTGTAATAATTCAGAGTTAGTTATTCTGAGTAAGCAAAATTGAATTTGATTTCGAGTAGGATCAAAGTTTAAGTAGTAATAGTAAATAATTTTAAATATAATTTAGTTGATACGTGTGAGAGTGTAGGAGGATTCCACTTACATTCAAAAAGTAGAAGTGAAGTGTTATAAATCAGTAGCAGTCTATACACATGCTGCTGTGCTTTTGTAGCAGCATGGTGGACTGCCATGCTCCATAAAGAAGCCGGTGATTACAAAGATCCACTTGAGCCATTTTTTTCTTACTGGCAGGTGTCCCACTGGCCTGAGGCCAGCGGCTGTGGGTGTACTGCAGCTTGCAGTTTACACCAGGGTGTAGAAAATGCCAAGAGCAGCTGGCTGCACATAATTAAGCTGATTGCGGTCTGACAGCTTGAACTATGATACAGATATGTCATAAATACATAAAATATCGTATAAATTTGATTGTCTGACATATTTTATCTACTTTTTTTCTCCTTAACAGATATGATATCTGCACTTATAAAAACAAGCCTTGTGGAACACTGGGTAAGGTTATAAAGAGAAATTTCAGTTTGTATTTGCTGTTTCTTTGCTTTATACTCAGCTATTGATTTATTGACTTATTAGATATTTTTCAGTTTATGCTTTCAAATTTTGCAGTTTTTTCAATCATGAACAATGAAAAGTACCCTAGGTGAGTTTTGGCTTTGGTATGTTCCTGGAAGTGAAGTGACCGGCTTCTGTGTACTTCTTATCTGGCAGCTGTAGTTCTGATAAAACATTGCAGATGACTCAAACTTATATTTTACAGACTAGAACTTGTTGTTTATTTCCATTTAACCTGTCTCCAGACCTAGCTAAAAAAAAAAAAAAAAAAAGACCTCAGGAATGTTAAAAAACAAACCAAAAAAAAACTTACAAAAGGAACAGGGCTTTGAGGTTTAAACTGTTGCTCTGTTGTACACTGAGAGAGAACACAGATGCAGATTCTTACTTTCACAGACTTTGAGAAAAATACAATATAAACTACAGTGATACTGAAATGCCTTAAAACAATACTTTGACAATGGAGAAGCACACATAAGCAACCTTACATGCAGGATGGAGACCTGTTGTTTTCTCCATATCTAAATTTGTCACCAGAAGTTATTTACTATAGCATAGTTATTACCTTTAATAGTGTTTTAATATATGAAGGAAGCACTATTCAAAGCCTAGTGTAAAATTATTTTTTTTTCCAATTTGGATCCTTTCATAAGCCTCTTTCTCAAAAATAATTAAAGATACAATTCTAATTTGTCTAGTTCAGATTATTACTACTTTCCTCACTCAGAGCTCATGGTTGTATTTGCTTTGTCTTTCTCTGTATTACTGTATTCTTTGGTAGCCTTAACTCAATTTTTCCACAAGTCTCACTCGAGTTGGCGTAACGCTTCTGGCACAGGGATGTAGTTTACATGGGAAAAGGTACCAGAATTTTGCTTGCTGTAAATATTTCTGCATGTACCTGATTTTCTTTGACCTTTGTGTGAAGGAGGCAAAACTGATGAGACTGCCTATATTAATGTCATAGAATTGTCTTTGCAAGTGTTAAAAGAAGAAAGTTTGAAGGAGTGTACATTCACATGTGACCTATTTGATTTTTTTACATTATAATTTAAACACATATCAATAGCGTTCTAGTTCTTACTGTATCAGCCTTTGGCATAAAGGCAAATTCTGCTTCACTTGAATCCAGCATAACAGAGAATAGACTTCGGTGGATGTTTTCTTTAACTAAAGGCTTGATTAAAAAAAAAAATAAAATCACATATGGTATCAGTTCCAGCTGAGTGTTACAGGACCCTTGGCAACACAACCATGACAATTTATTTGCATTATAGGCATTGAGCTAGAGAAGAGACAAGGTCCTGTGGCCCTCTTTTGCAAGGCATTTAATATTCTTAAGTCCCACTGATATCCAGCAACTAAATTTAAGCATATATTTAGGGAGTCTGTCATGAAAAGTCTCAGAGAGGTCTCAAAAGGTCAAAAGAAACCGGAATCATTGGTATTGTACAAAGAAACAGAAGTAGAGGATTTTGTGTGGTATAGACATATCTCTCCTATTTCAGTTTCCTAAAATAGGGAATCTTTCATGTAACATCTTGGAAAAGATAAACCTCAGATGTCTATGCAGCACATCTGTGGCTCCAGTGAAGGACAACCTCTTTTTTAAATCTGAGCCATAGACTAAGTTCTTGACTTGATGTCTGACACTTTCTGGAAGAGTGGTATGGAGTTAACATCAATTTGGTCCTGTAAGTCACTGAAGTGCGTGCTCAATTATGAGATCTGAAGACTTTATGGCTCAAATGTGGTGGACTTTGAAGGGGTACATGACAGTTGTTATCCAGGTATTGCCATGTTGTCTTCACAATGTCATTTTCAATTAAAATATTATAGGTGAACTGGAATCACTGTATTCTCTGCAGGTTGCCCACTGCAAAAAAACACACCGATTTTTCTACATGCCTAGACTTTTTTAGCTTAATGTTTCATCCTGTCCTCAGTAGGCGTGTCTACACTGATGATTTGTTTGCAGCGGTAGTACTGCTTTGATACAGATTCTACAGACACATATTGTTACCTTTTGCCCATGCCAGTTTGGTTCTCAGAGTAGTTTTGGTGTGTGCAAACTAGCTCTGTTTTGAAGAAAACTAAATCAGAACACATACTCCTTTAATGCTCCATATGTGCCTACATAGCCTACCACATGGGCTGTATTTTCATGATATCCTGTAATTTTTTTCCTGTAGAAAGCTTTGAACCACATGTAGTGAGTATGTTCAGTTTATGGGATTAAACTAGCTCAAAGAAGAGTGTCCAATCCACATACAAAGAGATGCAAGGAGCCTCGGTATCAGTGCTTCACTCTGATGACCCACTTCTGTAGGTCCAAAATCCTTGCTAATGTGTACAGGGCCAGAAACCAGTTGCCATCTTACTACTTGCTTACTCTTTGTCCAAACAGAACAATTTGAAGTCCTGACTCTTTATGGAAAGAGTATGATTTTTCCCTATCTCTGTACAAAGACTATGGACTACCCCATTCCATTTTATTTTTTTTTTTGTTATAATTTAGTTAACTGAGCGTGTAGTTTCCTTAAAGAAAGTATTACTGCTTCTTTCAGGTAAGAAACTCTAGAGAGGAATATAGTAAATAAATCCAATGTTTAGAGCTTTCTCTAGTGACATTAAACTATGACTGGAGTGTGTTGTGTGATAATCTGCAACTGAAGAATGTGTAAGATACAGAAGAGCCATATTCTGTAAATGTCAGTGGCTTTCTTTCTCTGAAGAAAGTTTTTAAAATGCTTGTAATACAATAAGATTTTAATTTGCGAAGATGATGGGTGATAAATGGAAAAGACTTCCATAGTTAAATTAATTATTGTTATTAACATGTCTCCTCTGTCTTCATTGATGCATTCAGTTTGAGTTTTAAAATTTTTTTTAAATGTACCATGTGGGGCTTTTCATAGCTAAAAAAGTTGCTTGTATGTTTTTATGAACCCACTAAACTTAAACAGATTTCTTTATAAAAATAATGTGGATACATTTTGCTTTTTTCAGGCTCAAGAATGTTAAAATAGAAATACTTTCTTGAATTCCCTCTCCTGGCTCAAGTTACTAGGTGGTCCCAAGTTACCAGAAGTAAAATTTATAAATCTAACCCCTAGTCTAGACATTTTCCAGTACTGACTGCAGTTCAAAAAATATTAATGTCTAGCCGGCAAAGTGAAATTCCCCCCAGTGATTTTGCAAATGACTAGAAAGTTAACCTTTTGCCAACTGCTCCTTCTGTGCATAGAGGTTATTAAAAAGAATCCAGGCATTTATAACTAGGGCTTTTAAGACTGAAACACCTTGGCATGACCCTTTGTGTCTCCTTCTGTTTATTCAGGCTTGGCCTCTGTGGCTGGAATGTGTGAGCCTGAAAGGAGCTGCAGCATTAATGAAGACATTGGCCTAGGTTCAGCTTTTACCATTGCACATGAGATTGGTCACAAGTGAGTGAGTTTAAAAAAAGAATATGTTTTAATGTGTCACCTTTTTCATATTAGGTTAATAATAGAAATTTTTTTCCTGCATGGCTGTACCATCTCTGTTCTGGTGCTCCATGTTTCTCTGTATAGTGTTCATGAATGGCAGTACATTTTATTTAGTGTATATTACCAAGAGCTTTAAATTTAGAACTGAAGACTCATTGTTTACCTTTTGATTTCAGATTCCAGTTAAATCTGTGCTTTTGAGATTTGGCTCACAACCTTCCTACTCTGTTTCGTATTTTTAAATGTTTGACTTCGAAGATTTTTCTTTTTTTCCATTTCTTACTTTTGTCTACCTCTCTTTATGAAACAAAAATGGTTAAATGGTAATTTTTTTTTCTTTTTGTTATTTTGTCTTAAGTATAATTAAAACAATTTTCATTAAGACATTGATTCTGTTGTCAACATCCATACCCTTTTAATCATCTTTCACTCAAACATGAAGTATGTCAACCAGTCATAGAGCAGTCATAGAATCACTTGTTACATTTTAAACATTAGTACATCACTTTCAAGAGCACAAAGTTATGAGACTGATAAAATCTGAGTGGGGTTTGGTCTGGAAATATTTCAGTTCTTCCTTAGAAATACAGCGTTGTTCGTATATTATTAGTACGTAATGACTCTGAAAAGACTAGGCACCTTGTGTTAGCAAGAGGTTTCTTTTGTTTACATTGGTTGAGCAACACTGAGCTACAGGTGGCACGTTTTTCCAGTCATTAGCTGATGCAACTGCTAAAACTTCCAATGCAGACTGAAATGGAAGCTATCAATCTGCTGATCAAAAAAAAAAAGGAGTTGGAAGTAAACAGTTATTTCCAGCCCACCTATCATGCAAGATAATCACTGGGAAAGTATGATCTCATTTATATCATGGAGGAAAACCCTACTGTAGCTACACTGAAATAGTGCTGAAGTAGATTTTGAATTTTAGAATCCAAAAGTAATTGTGTAAAAAAAATAATGTAAAACATACATAATTATTCTTATATTAATTTCCTTCCTTCTTTTCCTTCACTTGTATGAGTTGAAAAAGATAAAGTAAAGGAAAATATATTTCCACTGTTGAGGAAGGAGCTCCTTCAAGTCACTCATAGTTCTGAAATTCTTGTTAATAACATCTCGTTATAGTTGAATGTGACCTTGTTGTGAATTTGCCACGTTAACAAGAAAAACAATCTTCCAATACCACACCTTCATTTCAATCCACATGTAATGCAACTATATATTTTATGTAGTTTCTTCTTCATATACATGAAAATAATTTAAATATATGCAGCTATTTTATCATGGAAATCTGGCATGGTGACAAGAATTGTTTTGAAAAGCTTAGACTTTGGTTAGAATCCAAGAAAAATAGAATAGTGATAGCATATGTCCTGTGATCACAGGAATTTTTTTAACCATCTATGTTTTCTATATTCCATATCTTTTGGCTTTTTATATGTATGGTCTCTTATAATTTTGAAATCTTAGCTCTCTAAGGCTTTCCCCTCATCCTGTAGTTGGCATGACGTGCCAAATGCAGGTTTGAAAAGAAAGTAGAAATCATATTCTTTCAGCTTTTATCCAATGAACAGTCATAATAGACAATTGCACTGCAAGCTTGGTTTTGAAAAATGAACATGCCATGTAAATGCTTTCAGTTAAAAACTGGGAAGAATATGTGGGCAAAAAATCTTCACGGTTTGTATTTTATGCTATCCATGCATATCAAGGACGTTGTTATTTCCTCTCAGCTTCCTGCTCCCTCATACCTACTAGAAGGTACTTGCATATGTGAGTAAAATAATTTTGAGAAGCCTTGTAAAATTTTTTCTGTGGCTGTACTGTGATTATTGCTTTTCTTTTCAGATGGACATGGGAAATAGAAAATTGGCTTCATTGTCAAATGAAAAATAGAAGCATTTAAGGAATATGTGTACACTGAATATGTAACATACGACACAAAAAGCACTCAATTAAATTAGAATGGGAGAACTGCACTTTGAAAAATCATGTTTTTATTAATTCTATAATTTCTATAGAACACTGAGTTATTTTTTTTTAGTTTTGCACTCAGGAGTAAAATTATCTTGTCATTAAAAGAGATCAGTAGAACTATTACATATATTTTGTTAGATTATCCATGGTTTCTCCAAAATTGTTTTTGTACAATTCCATGATGGAAATATGGGTCAGCTGGAAATGTGGCTCAGCTTGTTGTGAGTTGCTAGTACTTTATTAAAGTATAGTGATGAGAACTCATTTGATAGTTCAGTCTGACTTTCTGTAGATCATAGTGTATTAAATTTAATTCATTTTACCTTATAATGATCCAAGTAACTTCTGTTTGGTTGAATAATAGTATCCAGAAAGCTCTTGGTCTTGAGACTGAGAATGTGTGTGGCATTGTTATGGTCAGTCATAGTTTCTGTTAAATATTAATAAGTTTTTTAAAAAATAATTCTGTTCCTTCCCAGCTTGTAGTTTTTATATAACAGTTTTGTATAACCCAGTTTTGGTGTGGAAATTTTTTTTTTAATTGAAGATGACTGTACATTGTGATTAATTATGTATTTCTTCCTTTATGGCATAAAGAATGGTTTTCAACTAATTTTGTTTTCATTCCATGAATCAGAGTGTGCCCTTTAGCCTTCAGAACAGTGTGTCTAGAAATTTGATTTGTGCTGCGTGTCTTACAGAATGCTTACTTTCCTACCATTATGTATTTCACACTGAAGAAATGCTTAAAATTTCTAGTAAGCAAAAAATAACAACCAGTGATTTCTCATGGCAGGGTTGAGAACTGAATGTGTATCCCCTGCATTGTCTAACAAAGTCTGGCTTTTTCTTTTTACTGAAAAGGAACTATTTGTAGGCTTGAATATGCTTTTATGCTCAGATGAGTTGTAAGATTTATGCTCTGGTCCCATCATCTGTTTCCCTGCTAGCTAAGTTAGGTGGTTTTCCACCGTGTGGAAAGCTTTTCAGTTTGGATACTTTCTAAATTTGGATACTTTCTAATGCTTAGTGTGCCCCATGCATGCTGTACAGGATGCTTAGTTGAAATGATAAGGAATTCCAGGTTCCATTGAAACGGGTATATCCTTAGAAGAAGGTATGCTACGCATTGCTCCAGTCCTATGGAGTTAACTGAGGTCAGAAAACTAAATAACAAAGTGAAAAAGAAAAAGAAAATAAGAGAAGAGGGAAAAAAAGGAAATGTCAAAACATGAGGCTAGTGGAGTAGACAGAATAGAGAGCTGCCCATAAAACCCGGAGTAAGAAAAGAATTTACTAATGACAAACAGCTATTGTATATATTGCCCCTGTATGGAAGGGGCAAAGAGAAGAGACTGGTGGCTAAAGTAATTTCTGAAAAGTCAGAGCTGTCTTACTTACAGGAGATGTAATGAACTGAAATTCAGAGGAGTTTGGCAGTCATAACCTGATTTTAAAAAATACAAGAAGTAGTAAGATAGATTGCAGTCTAACAGAGTAAATTGGCTTCAAGATAATGAGCAATATCTTTAAGCATGTATTTAGTTCGGAATTAGTTCGTACAGCTAAAATGCGCATGTAATTCTAGCACTTTTATTTTAGAAGTCTTGGTTTTTTAGTCTGTATGCAAAGTATAAAAACAGCATAAGTGCCCCTTGTCCCATATACAAAAGTTGGTCTTCAGTGCTGGAGTAGAAAATACTAATCTAGGAAATGCTAGAGGTACTTGCTGAATCTGGTTGTCTTTTCCTCATTCTTCAGTGATAAGTGAGCTTCATATTTGATCAGTAGAACTTCAGCTGCATTGTAGGATCTGACTTTGAACAAGATGTGTTCAAGAAGACATGTGTGTCAAGAACTGTATGTGTTGTACAAGTTGCAGGAAAATACTCCAGTCTGAGAGTATAGGAACGCCTATATAAAATTTCAAAATAGCTTTCAAAAATAGTTGGAACACAACTAGGATTAATTGTACTAACTCCACCTACTGTCAGCTCTCCCGTGAACAGTTCTACAGTTGATGCTGTCATCTTTGTTTTTTCTGTGATGATGATGTCTTACATCTTCAGCTATAGCAGAGCTGACACAACCATCCAAAATCTACAGTGTATGAACACCTCAACACCAGTGAGAAAAAGTGAAGGCTTAGTCCTGCTAGATGCCTAGGATCAACTGAGAACAACACCTTCAATTCAGATCTTAAATTGATTGTGTATTACAAGTAATTCCCTTGGATATTTTTTTTCAGAGATTTTTCAGGTTGCCAAGGAAAAAGCATCTCTCCCATATAAGTGTTAGTAAATAGGGCAGGCATGTAGCACTTGTCAGGTGCGCTGCTTTCTTATTGTATTTTAAGATGTATACAAATTATAGAGAACTTGCAGGTGAGTTTCAGTTATGATTTTAAAGTTATTAGCGTTAGTGTTTTGTACAGCTCTTATGTGTAATGTCGGTGCTCTTTTGGGAAAAAGAGGAGATATATAATCCTTGAAAAAAGAAAACAGCTGTTGGGTTAAACATCTTTTCTTGAGGTGGTAGATAGAAAGTAATTAACAGAAAAACTCCTGTGTCACCTGAGAAGACTTTTCAGTCTCTCCTCACTCAGCTGGTTATTATTTTAAAGACAATTACAGAGATAGTTTTAAACAGGCCTTTTAAGCCAGTGAAAAAAAAAATAGTCTGCATCTGTTTAGTGAGTTTGAAAAAGGTAGCTAAATAGCTCCATGAAGAGTATTCTGTGTTCCTTCCTTTATTCTCTGCCTTCATGCCCCAATCTAAAGGCAAACATGCTTTTGTAAAAAGATGTAGCTTCAGTGTAATGATGGCCAAATATAACCAACACGTTCTGATGGAAATAAAACTGGTACTTTGAACAGAAACATGTTTGTGTCTGCAATGCTAGCTGTAGGAGTGCCAGTCACGGGGCTGGAATGGCATGCTGTCACTGCCATCTTCGGAAAGAGATGACTGTAGTTGCAAAACCCCTTTTCAAGCAACAGAAAAAAATTACCTGCACCTAATGATCAGTTTACTTCTAAATTCAGAAGCAGGGATAAGTAGAAGAGCCTTCTTGGAAGGGAAGAGATGACTTAGGTGAATGGGTATTTATAAAAAATGAGAATACCGTTGGTTCATGAAGAGGCATGGAGTTCCTATGTGCATCAGGAATCTCAGTTTCCATCCACAGACATTCTTTTTATCAGGCATACATTCTGCCACCATCAGCAATGTGATCTTTTTCACAAGGAGAGATGGTAGAAGAAGGAAAACTATTAAAGTATGAGGTTTGTTCTTTTTTTGTAGGTCCCAAAGGGAAAAATTTCATTTCCCAGACAGTTGGAAGCCTGTCATTTTTTTTACAAATGGAATACACTAGTGAGGGGCAAGCTGTGTAACAGTTAAAGTCAGCATGATTCTATTCAGCTCTTTCCCACCTACCCAAATGCCCATTTCTATAAAGGAGCCACTCATAGACATTATTAAAAACTAGGGTTTTCCATTTTAAGACATTGTGCATAGAATCATAGAGTGTTTTTTGTGTGACCTTAAAGATCATCTCAATCCAGCTCCTCTGCCTTGAGGAGGGGCTAGAGCAGGTTGCTCAAAGCCCCATCCAGCTTGGCCTTGAACACTTCCAGGGAGGGGGCATCCACAACTTCTCTGCATAAACTATTACAGTATCTCACCACTCTCACAGTGAAGAACTTCCTTACATGTAATCTAAATCTGCCTTCTTTCAGTTTCAGGCTGTTACCCTTTATACAGAGGCAATTCAAAAGGAAACGTTTCTATTTGAATTACTTATAATTCTAGGAAATTACGGGAGTTGAGAACTAGGTGAATTAAGCACATTTTTCATTGTAAAATTCTGATTCAGTTCATTGTATTGGACATGTAAGTGCTTCACTCCCAGAATATATTCCAGTAATGAAAACTGATCATAATAGTAAGACTAGTCTGAAAGTTTCATTATAACACATACTTTTCTCTGATGAGTTGTTTTTAAAGCTGCATTTTTTATATGTGAGGGGTATTAATCATTTAAATTATAAAATAATCCAAGGTGTCAGTCAGACCTTTGCCATGTGCAAGATACCATATGGCTTTCTGCATTTATGGTACGTCATACACAGAACTAGACACATGCAGACAGTACTATGGACTAGATGTTCTACAGGGAGACATCCCATAGGCAAGGAAGTGACGCTCCTTATTCCTGTTTAGGAATAACAGTAATAATTAAAGGTAGTTGGTAAAGAAAATATTTTCAAATAGATGCTAAGTGAGTTTACTTCTAGTTTTAATTTGATGGTTGTGTTGATGATCTGTGCCTCCAAGGGTGTATTTCAGTAGTGCAGGATTTCTAAGACATGAGGGTTCTTTTGCCATATTGCTTTTTCCAGAGTCATACCATCTTTGTTGAAAGTTAATTGGTTTGTTGCCTGAAAATCTTTGTTGGTTAATTGCCACCCAAAGGTTTCTTACTGTATTTTCTGCTGATTTTTAGTTGTCTTCATTCCAACATTCCAATGACAAAGCACAGCTTCTAGTAGAAGGACTCCAAGTCACTCTGTGAGTGCACACAGAGAGGGGTGTGCATACAGCATGTCTCTGGGAATTGCAAAGCCCATGTGTTCATTGAATTATCATGGGCTACTGTGTGCCTACATTGTACTGTTAGAACAATATCACCTATTCTTTGTTTACTCATCCAGGTGTCAGTGCCATAACGTATATTCCTTATCCAGGTACTATACCAAATGAGGACTGAGTGCTTTATGTTTATCTTGTAATGATAGTGTCCTATTTTCTTAGAAAGCTTTGAAAAAAATAGTAACTTGATGTCAAAAGTCTGTGGGAGGAAAGAAACTTGTGTAGTTGTGTGGTGTTCTGAACAGAACTTCACTGATTGTGATTCTCTACTTAAGAGTTCTGCTGTACTAAGTGTGTTCTTTCAGGCCCAGCGTGATTTCTATGAAGGTGACATTAAGTTTCAGGAGATGTCTGATGCAGTGGAAAAGTAATGAGCTGTTACTCTCCTCCTCTTTTGGACAGTTTTGGTATGAACCATGATGGAATTGGAAATTCCTGTGGGACCAAAGGTCATGAAGCAGCAAAGCTAATGGCAGCTCATATAACAGCGAACACCAACCCTTTCTCCTGGTCAGCCTGCAGTCGGGATTACATCACGAGTTTTTTGGAGTAAGTAACCTCTCAAGAAAAATAATGAGTTTTCAAAAATGAACACCTTTCAGGACAAATATTAGAGATACAGTGAGCAGTTTTGATGGTTTGCATTTTTAGAATGGACAGAAATATAGCAAGTCATTTGAGATTTTTATTTTGTAGAGCACTTCTTCTGTTAATGGCAAAGGCTTCTGCTCCATTCCCGACCTTACAGTTCTCATTTCTAATCTATTCAAAACATTTTGAAGAGTTGATCATATCTCATTACTTCATTAATATGAAGGTGAGAAATTGAGAAAAGTGGAACTTGTCTATGGATGATGGGAACTTTTTTTTTAATATGAGCACAATGTGAGGGAATCTAATGAAAGGGACAAGGTTGTAGAGCTGGTCCTTGTACATTTAATTCTCCAGTTTTTTGTTTTTGTTTTTTCATGAAGTCTTCTCGGTTTTTATCTACCAATGTTCTTCGGTGCCATTGGTGAGAATATAAAGATTTCAGGAGAGGATGGCATAGATCTTGCCTTAAAATTGTCCTAATCTATACTTCTGTGGTGATTTTTATCCAGAAATTTTACTTCTGTGTGAAATTTAAAAAAAGTAAAAAAATGTTAGTCTCAAAAGTGTACTTTTATCAATGTATACTCTGTTATCAAAGATGCATAATGAAGCTTTTGCATGTGATTTACATTATGGAAGACAAACACAGAACTGTGAATTCACTAAGAACAGATTAATAACAGGAATTTTAAAAAATGTGTGAAATGGCCTTTATGGGAGCAATTGGCAGTTAGTTGGTAGATTCTGTGTCATCAATGCACTCACTGCGTTGAGAAATAAAGGTTCAGTAATTCTGACACTTGGTGCTTCAGGAGATGGACTTAAATCTGTGAAGTGGTCTAACCATGAGACTACTAAGAACAGAACAAGATTCTACTCCTTTTTCAAGAATCTAACATCAGAGGAAGGTGCAGTATTCTGAATCTTACCTGAAGGGACCCATCCAGACAGATACATTTTTAGCTTGGTTCAAATGTGGCTTACTACACAATGCAGAGGAGCATTGAATCAACTGAACATTGAAGAGGTGTTTGAGCTCTGCTCAGTGGGCAGAGACAGACAATGTTGGTGCTGCTCAGAGTAAAAACCAAACTTCTCTTCAGTTACTGTATCAGGTTAAAGCATTTTGTATCACCCCACTGAACTGTGCACCCACCCAATTTTATGTATTGGGAGCATTTAAGATGAATGTCTGAACTAAAGCACAGTGAATAAGTCATCCTTACATATATACAGATTTCTCACAATATAAATTGATTTCCTCAGCAGAGTTATGTATTCATTTCTACCATTATATATAAAAAAAATTTCTACCATTATTAAAAAAAATTAGTTTCTACTATTGCTAAAAAAATTACATGGGATAGTTTAATCTCATTACCAATCATTTGTGTTCATTCAATGCTGTTCCCATTAGTAGTCTTTCTAGTATGTCATGCAGCCTAATTTCAACTATGACAAAAAATATGGTTTTTGTATCTCTTCTGAGCAATTTCACAGCTTAGTAGATCTGATTGTAAGCTTAGAGTTCAGGTGTTCTCTTGTAGCATTTGGGGATTTGTTTCTTGCTGCTACAGTTCTGCTCTTCTTTGTTTCTCTCCTCTGAACTCCATTTTGATCCCTTAATTGTCCTGAAAATAAGTTGTCTGTTGATGAAGACATAATTCAACAGATAGCTAAGAAGTCATTTGTTATTTATGGGTTTAGAGAAAAAAAATGTAAATTCTGTGGCTTGTGTTACGCTGTAATAGAACTGAACATTTGTTCATAATGTTCCTACATTGTTTTAAATTTCAGCCTGAACTAACTTTCTTGTTTCTTCACCTGATACAAATGCAGTTATCTTCCAAATTTTTTAATGCCAGTTAAAAACATTTTTAGCTTTGGCATTTCTACTTTGTGTTTAATTTAAAAATTAATTTTATTATTTCCTGTCAGCATCTCAATTGTTCTCTTCCATTCCCTACATTTGATTCATCATTAAGTTTTATTTTTAAGTCTGTGGGATGCCAGTGAATCTGTAATTATATTAGCATAAAGTCAGGATAGTACTCTGGTGAATCTGTTCCCATAGTTCTAATCTCTTCAGGTTTTCTGAGATACTGCTCTATTATTGCCAGTGTTTGCAGCCTTACTTGAATTACTACCATCTGTGAATTTCATTAAAAAATCATTACTGAAGATACAAAGTGGTACTTGAGCTAGAGTAAAACAAAAATCTACACATAGCAGTGTCAGTAATAAATTATCTTTTATAATATTTTAGCTGTATTTTTGTAACCCAGAATGTAGATATTTTTTTCAAAGTCACCTTGGATAAACAGTATTTTATGCATTGCAGTTATGAATAGATTTTCCATTTGTGTAGGACACTGTGTTTAAATAATGTACTGAGCCAAACATAACTTCTCCATCTACTAATTTTGCAGTCTGTTTTCTAAGATGTCAGATTTCTCCAACATGATCTGTTTATTATAAAACTATGCTTCCTATTGTTTGTGGTCCAAATATCCTAGAAATGAATTGATTTTTTTTTTTCTGAAAATACTTGTTTTATTATTTTATAAAGTAGAGTAGTCTGTAAAACTGCAAGGTTATTTTCACCAGTTCTAGTTTTCCCTAAATTTTCCTGTCATTTCCTCAATGACAACAGGAAGCTGTTAGCAGAGCTACATTGGCAGGAAACCTCTCCTTAAAGCAGAATAGCTTTCAGAGCAAGCGGTTTTCTGTTGCAGGTAAAGATCAGTGAGGAAGAGGAGTAGCAAATTTCATATTGTAGCAATTCCCTGGCTGCTTCTATAAGAGCAGAACAGTCTGCATCCAGACAGGAAAAATGATTCTGTTTTTTTTCCTAATACATCTTCATAACTTAGCAACAGATGAGGAAATGCTGATTTAGTGCTTTAATGGCAAAGCTTCAAAATGTCCTCTGTGTCTCCAGGTGTTTCTGCCTGCTTTCTTTCCATTTTTTTTTTCTCAAGAAAGGTAAAAAAGTGGAGACAGGACACAGTAGGCTGCAGACAAGGTAGACAAGTTGGGGTTTTTTTTGGTGCTGAATGATTATGGCTAGTTATGATTAATGTAGCTATGTCTAACAAGAAAGATAGAATATGATGGGATGAAATGCACATACCCAAGCAGAAACATAATGCCATGAGTCTCTAATACATACCACAACAACTTTTACATTTATTGGCTTAGATCTGGATACAAGTTGGAAGGAGCTGTGATGATACCAGGGTAATGCAGCTGGAATGATTTGCACCAGAAGCTCATTATGTGTTCGTAGTATTATATGGCAAAGTAGATTAACGTGGATTTAGCAATTCACCAGGTTGGGTCATTACTTGCTCCAGCAGTTTTGCACCATGTAGCATTTTGCAGTGTAGATTCCACATTATCTGTTATCATTGGGCAGAAGCATTTTGAAACATAAGTCATCCTGGTGACACTCAGAGTAGAGCCTCACCTTCATTCTTCTCTTCTTCAAGATTTCCTTAAAACTACAGCCTAAAATAAATTTTCCAGAGTGAGGCTACTGAGGATTAACAATTAAGTATCACTTGGAAGGTATCAGTGCAGTCAGGCACTAGTTGGGAAAGCATTTTATTTTGTGGGATGGGTGGCTAGAGGCTGAATATGGCTCAGAGGATGACAGTAGGCAAAGTAAAGCTATGCATTGCTAATAGATCTATCAAAACTCTCAAGAAGGGTGGCCAGCCAGCACGGGCTCTGAAATGGCCAAAGAAAATATTTTTTTTTCTGGGAAAAACATTCCTTCTAGCACATAGTAGCTGTTGTCTGTCAAGCTTTATATTGCAGTGGAAGATTGACTGATTATCAACTGACTTTTTCATAGGTGCTTTACAGTGGCTTAGAATTTCACTAACTTTTTATGGAATTAAATGCAGAAATACTCACGGAGAATTGAAGGGTTGAAAGCTGTGTCAGAGAACCAAGATTCCTGTGAGAGGAGTAGAAACCCTTAATATCTCTCTGTAGGAGAAATGAACCAAGCCTAAGAATACTATTTGTGACTGAAAACCGAAGAGTATGAATTTTGTTCTGTGCAGCATGTGTGTATACCTATATAAATATGTAACATGCAAGTTTCATTATATCCAGCATGTTTATATAGTGTGCCTATAGACCCATCCAAGATACCTAGACATAAGGAAGAGAACGTTCTGCTTAAAATTCTTTCTTAAAATACTTTTATGTTTGTAATAACAGAATCTGGGTGATTTCTGAGATCATAGTTTGTTAATCTTGTCAGTGTTGGATAGGAGAAGGTGTTAGAAACAGCCAGGTGGCCAAGTCTGCCTTTCAAAGGCTGGATTGTCATTTGAAGATGAATGGTGAACAACTAAGAGATTTTAAACTATTTGAGTATGTAAGATCTATCACAGGAAAATCTTGGAGAGTCTCTAGGATTGCCATATAGCAGGACTGAGATCTGAGATTACACCTTTCTAACTCTGGAATGGAGCCTAAAGTACATTAGTCCAGGCAAGCCCATGTAGACAATATAAAAACATCATGCAATGTTTGGGCCCTGGTATTGTCTACCTAAGAATCTTGAACATACAAGTGGATATACAAGATAAATATAGGATACATTTATATATGTCTCATATGCTGTCTATGTCTGATTGATCCCTGGTACTCCAGAAATCTAAATTAACTTAATAAAAAAGTACAAGCCAAGACTAGGTCACATCAATCATGTCAAAATCTCGTCTCTCTATAAATCATTTCAGAAAATCTACATTCAGTATTATCTGTTGACCTACACTTCAGATTATAATTTGTTTGGTTTTTCTTTAAAGTTTACTAGAATTTTTTATTTTTAGCTAACAGCTAATTAATCAAAAAACGTGTCCCAAATTACTGTAGATTTCTGAAACTTTGCAAGTTGTGTTTTGCTTCAGAGGCCATCTCTTTAAAAAGACCCAAGAGCTTCTGTAATCATGGGCTGGATATATGTTTGTGACTGTTCACTCTGCACATATTACTGTTTGTATGCCTCTTGGGTTATTTAAATTTAATGAAATTGTAAAGGGAAGAATTTGCAGCAGATTCCCATTAACATATTTGTACAATGTTTGATGAAATCAATATAGAACAAGTATTTTTATCCAGCCCAGTATTTGATAGTTTAATATCTTGGAAGTTCTCAGGGACAGATAGCAATAGATTTTGGTAGGTGGATGATTTTGACAGATTGACCAATAGATTTTCCTAATATGGCTTCTGGATAATTATTCAAATGAATAAAAGAACGCTTTGGAACACGACCATATTGTGGAGGAAAGCATGCATTAGAGAAACAGCACGTTATCTGCTACCAATAGTAGTCTCTCAATCTCAACAGAAAAATAGAGTATTATCAAAATATGTGCAAAATTAAAGAGTCTTTGCTGTTAAATAGAATGTAAGACACAGAGCCAGCCTTGCATAAAAGATTGGAAGAAGTAGAATGTGTCAAGGGAGTGAGTGGTAATTTCCTAATGTTCAAGAATGTTTTCATTTAGTAATTCCATTCTGTTTCGTTTTAATTTTAAACATACTACTCCAAATCATACTTCCATTACTTATGCACTGATTCTGCAAATATTTATGTTGTTTTCTGTGGACTCTTGAGCAATCTGCAGAGTTTATTCATTAATACCAAGTTAAACAGCTTTTGTAACCTGTGCAGAAATATATCCTGATGCTTTCTGAAAATCCTGAGTTTTTTCACTCAGGAAAAGTATGTAACCAATATGGTGTAAGGATTCTGTTAGCATCCAAATGTTACATGCATGCATGTAAATATTCATGGTTTTATATGTATCTGTATGCATAAAATTCTCTGTCTTTATAATTAATAAATGTTACTATTGTCTTTACACATATTTTTATAGGTAATTTGATAACAGATTTAAATAAATTATTATGCGTACTGTATTTATGTATATGATTGCTTAGCTGTAACAGGTAATTACAAATATTTATAATCTCATTTATGATTGTAGGTCATAGCTTGCATTATAGTCCACATTGATGATGATGATGATGATGATGATGATGATGATGATGATGATGAACGAGCCAGTTCTCTAATATTCAAAACCTGTTTTTCAGTGCTAGTGTTCTGGGCTATTTTCTTTAACCATTGAAGGATATCTATGTTGCTGAGATATTTGGGCGTATAGAGTTTGCTGAGATATTTGGGAACAGGAGCAAAAATCCCAAAAGGCTGACATCCATGGTTTTTGCTTTTTCACTTTACTGGCCTTGGCTAAAACGGGGATGTGTTACAGAAGAGATGATCCGCAGTTTTGCGTCGTTTATTCTGTAAAGGTTCTAATGCCGAATCCCTGGCTGCTGTTGTTTTGATCAAGCATTTGGCAGCGATAGCGTATCTGAGATCTTAAGGTTTCAGAGAATGCTCTAGTAGCCTTGGTACCCTTCCAAACTGAAGGTTAATCTGCTATCCTGTGATATCAAAATCAAAACACTGTTTAAATTATATTGTAGTGTGTTTATCTCTCAAGACACTACACTGGAATACTGGGATGAAGTGACATAAAGCTTAGCTATTTTATAATTGAAACCAGTCCCACTATGTCCCGTAAGTCCTCGTGAAATTCATGTGAAATTAGGAAAACAATGTCTTTGAGTACTAGTAGTATCTTGTGGAGTAAATAGGTCTTAGCTATGAGTCTGCCATCATATTATTTCTGTTGCATACACTAAAGATTTATCCACTCGCTATTCAAACATGTAAACGCTCTGCAGGGTTCTTTTTATATGCTTCCTATGGAAGATAAAATTAAAAAGCACAGAAGCGATTGTGAGTTGAAATTCTCAAAAATTGCAGAGATTAAGATATTTCGGCATTCTTTTCCTTCCTGCTGTCTTTTTCACATCTACACAAAAGACTGTTTTAGGCCTGATTGATAGTAACTATTAGATCTCTGTTTATGAAGTGCTGTGATACAGTTATTCATCTTGCACCCATTTGGTTCATTCTCCTAGATTTAGCAGGTTGCTTTCCACAAATATCTGGATTTTCCTTTGGTTGATCGAAGAGAAAGGGAGAACAACAGGGACACAGACTCAAGAATATGACACTATTCCTGTGTCCTGTAGATGTTGTCTGGAAAGACTGTGGTCCTCAGCCTTTATTCATCCCTTACACAGCTTTGGTGAGACCTTTCATTACCAGTGGAAAGGCCCTGTTTTTATTAATGTATTTTACAACACAAGTTACTTCTTCTCCAAAATACTTAAGTTCACATAGTACAGTGTGAAGTTCTCACAATAAGTTTGTAAAAAGTGTAAATGTTGTTCAACTCATTAAGAGAAATGATAGAACTGAAGGAAGGCAACAAATTTTCAGTGTGAGAAGTAGTGATCTAATGTAGCTAGCAAATGAGTGACAGCCTAGTATTAATTTTTTACCTTTTTATCACTACCAACAGCATAAAATCCTGTCACTAGAGCAGAAGAGGCATATTTTTGTATTTACTGCAGAGACTTTAAGTTACATTTCTGCAATTATATCTCTTGGAGTAGGTATAGGTTTTAATTTACAAGTTCAGTGGAAGATTTAGATCTAATTCTGTAATCTAATCTGTGAAGGGGTACACAGGCCTATGGGAAGAGTAACCAAAAGTAATGAGTGTTGCTAAATGTTGGGCTTTGTCTGTCTGTTTACAGACTGCAGTTTTCAGACCAGACTCTGTGGTAGTGGAATTTATGTAAATGTTCTCATCATATGCAATACTAGCTCAAGCTGATGTCAAATGCTAAACTTCCCACTGCTTGTTTAAGCAAAGTTCCTATCTGCAGTTTAGTCCGGACAATGCATTAAAATCAGATTGTGTTTGAGTTATTTTCAGACTGGAATTATTAACATATACTCCTCATACATGCAAAATACAACACTGAAATATTTCAGAAGGATGTAGGGTAGTTTCACAGCTTCTGCTGTTAGAAAAGATGAAGTAGTGCAAAAATTAAAACAGGAATAAAAGGGCAAGCACACTATTTTTTATGCCAGAGTCACACAGTTGATATTTCAAAGGTAGGTTTCAGCTGTGGGGTGTGTGTGCATGCATGTGCGGGTGAATTGGACTACTTTTCGTTGGATTAGTAACCAAATAAAATCTTTTCTGTTTTCACTATGTTATTACCTTAGTTGCTCTTTGCCTTCTTCTGAAATGGTTTACAGTTGTTTGTTTTTTTCAAAGGATTTATTTTAGTACATCAAATAATTGAATAAAATAGGGTTAAAATGAGAATATAAAAGATGTAGTTAAAGGAGGCTTTTTGCTCTTTTTTTATTTGTACATGAGAAGTATAGAAAATTTGAGATCTCCAAAAAAGTGTAGAACATTCAATTCTGAAATTATGTTCTTTTGGCAAGGTGCATGGAAAAGATTTGGAAAAAAACCCATAAGTGCTGGCAAAATTTGTAGGAATGATGGAAAAAAATTTTGTTGGCATAAGAATTCTTTAAAAATCCTCACTTATTCACATGTGAAATGAAAGTAAAAAAGCGTCTGTCCTCTTTTATGCACGCTGACTAAATAAAACTGAATAATTATATTCAACAAAGTATGAAGTTTTCTAAGCAGAACTCTGCATTCAGCTTTCTTTGTTATTTATTTTACTACATTAAAATATTGTGGTTGAACACGGGCATATTTTGGAAAAAAAAACACGAACCACCAAACAAAACTGAATATAAAAGAAGAAAATATTAAAGTTTTCAAGTGTGATTATGTTACTTCTAACATGAAATTTTAAAGACAAAATATTAGTAATACAACAGAAAAGATCTTGGAACCATACAGATTTTTTTTCATTCACCGTAATACAGCTACATTTAAAGATCCTGCAGAATTTTTACTACTGTAAATAATTTGTTCACTCAGAAGGAGAATGTGCATGTTAAGGTGCTAAATCTATAAACATAGTCATATTCGAATTTAAATGTGTTTTACTTTGGGATAAAGCAGTTGAGCTGTGTGTATATGTAAGATTGCACTTAGCTTTTTGAAGGATCGAAAGGGTCACTAAGAGTTTTAAACTGGATTTCGTTTATTTGCTTCATTTGTTTATTTTTCAGTCCATGACTAAATGTATCTATTCTTCAGTGAAAACAAATAGGAATCTTAAAACAAAAATGAAAATCAGTCTTGTGTGGCTCAGAAATTATCATACTTTAAAAATGATAACATATGAAATCTATTTCACAATCTAAAATAAATATGTTAAGAATAATGATGAAAAATATTTTAATCTCTTAATTCCCTCTGATTATTTTTTCTGTTTACTATGGGTGTATCATCCTACTGTTTGTGTATTGCCATCATATCTGTTTGACACCCAGTGCTGTTAAAAGTAAGAACTAGATACGTGATATCATTACGGTGATTTACAGTCAGTAGAATTCCTAATTGATTTGGTCCTTTATGTTGAACAGTTCGGGCCGTGGTACTTGCCTTGATAATGAGCCTCCCAAGCGTGACTTTCTTTACCCAGCTGTGGCCCCAGGTCAGGTGTATGATGCTGATGAGCAGTGTCGCTTCCAGTATGGAGCAACATCCCGCCAGTGTAAATATGGGGTAAGAAGTCTTAATCCTTATGCTGAGTGTTCTGCTTAGTCAATTGTATATATTCCTTTAAAACGTAAATCGTTAGTTAGATGCAGTAGTGGGTTACAGATTTCCCATAGCATGCCTGATGCCATTGTGTGCAGGCAAAATGTACATTTTAATCCTTATGCTGCATCTTTTGCTTGAGTCATTTGTGTGTACTGTACACCAAAGTGTGTGGGTTATAGTGAGCTGGTGAAAACATTCTTTAATTTTAGGAAAAAAAGGAGCCCAGAACGCTTGATCCTGCTCCTTGTAAAGTGTACTACAAAATTTTCCCCAATTTCAGTAAAACAAGATCAGGTTCATGCTCCATTAGTCTTGAAACTTGTAAATCTCTTGTGTTGGATTTAAATTCTCAATTCAAAGCTACGTTTTGAAATTACTTTTGTACTTGTTTTTTTTCTGACACTGAGTTTATTGTTTCTCACATCGTTCAGATCTTTTTTTGGGAAGATGAATTATGGTTATAGGAAGAGAGGAACATGAAGCTAGATAGCTGAGTAGAATACCGAATAGCTAAGTACTAGTAAAGCTTTGGCTGCAAATACCAGTGTGCAATAATGAAGTTAAAGAAATTTGCAGTGGAAATAAAAAACCTGCGTACTTAGCCCATTATGCCATAAATTGATAACTATCTACTAAAAATCTTGCAGCCCAAAGGATGCGTTCTGCTATGCTTATTATCAAATAATTGTCTGAAATTAATTAAGTCAACCTTCTAAATGTATCTAGTGATTTAAAGGTAAATAGTTTTAATGATATTTTAATTTTTAGATTATTCAAATGAAATAATGTCATCATTGAATTTGTACTTTATTTACTTCTTTAAAGGCTAGCTATAAAGAAAGTCTATTTTTAATATCTGTGGGGTGCTAAATGCAGTATTATTCTTGGGATGCCTCTTTGGCAGACTGCATTATGCAAAAGGATTTAAAAGCTGTTTGCAGCTGGCTGGCTAGTTCCCTGGGTCTTTTACTTCTGATCCCTCATCAAATCTCTTTTGGCCTTTATTGTTCCTCTTTAAGTTCTCACTTCCCACCACTGTTCTTTAAGGGCCCTGTTTCCTGTCACTACATCTAAGTCATACCTTTTTTTTTTTTTTCCTTTTTTGTTACAAATTCTCACCCCATGCGCTCTTTTATTTTCAGAATAAGGAAATCTGCAGGTATTTAATCCGTGATTTATAGTATAGCCTTTGGAGATATACTGCATTTTAAATTAAACTGGAAAGTTAATAATGTGTAAAAACTGGCTGTTCCATATGCATGTTATTTTTTTCAGATGCTGTTAAACTATGTAATCATTGTTGTGATGATCATGCTGCAAAGTACACTTTCTTAAACTGGTTTCTAAACCACAGACAATTGGAAGTAGTGAGAATGTGTGGGCAATCTTGGCTTTCTGCCTTTTGCTTTCTTTTTGTTTTATAGCTTTTGTTGAGGTTCCCTTACAGTTACAAAAAGGTTGACACTTAATTGGGGCTGTAGTTAAAAGAAGTTGTCTTCCTGTGACATTACAAGTTCTCAAGATTGATACAGTGTATTGAATTCCATCAGTGTGCCAGTAGTGTTAGCATGACTCAGGAGTGTCCCATAGCAAACCCTCTGTTTTTAATAATAGGATTCAGGCTGCATATATTGATACAACAGGTTATTGTAGAATTCTGGTGATATCCACTCCTAAGAAGTTATATGCATTTAAAATTACATCTACATTTAAAAATATTATCCATTATGGCCATAGTGTTCTGAAAATGCAGTCACATGATGTTTGTGATTTTTCAGATTTAAAGTTAAAATTTTGAAGAGATTGAAGAAAAGTCTTTGGCAACTGGTAGTGCAGATTGGGAAGGAGGATCTATTCATATATGCAAGGGTTTTTAGAACTGAGTGGTGGAACCCGGTCTAAATACCAGCACAAGCAACGCTGAATACTCTGCTCAACCCTTTCATTACCAAAAGTAAACAGTCAGTGCTTTGGATATTCCTACCTGATGTTCTACATGAAGGTGCCATTGTTCATTGATCTTATTCTAACAGACATATGCAATGGAACGGAAAAACACAGTAAAAATCCCTGATTCACCATGGACCTAGACTGTATACTAACTTCTTCCTTGCACTTTGTTTAGCCCTTTTTATTTCAAGTGCCTGGTAAAAAAGGGGTGGAGCAGGATTTCCAGTGCAGGGTTTAGTGACATGGAAGGAAATAAATTCTAAACCAAAGGAAAATCTCAAAGAAAATTGCCTTTTTTGTTAGCTCGTGTTCTTTACTGATCTGTGATGGTGAGACATGACAAGAGGAGAAACAGTTGAACTCTAAATCAAAGGCTAAAAAATTACCAGTCTCCTTTGGGGACTTGCGTAGCCATTGAGATAGTGAGTGTTTTAAAGTTGGAAAATCTTCATGTTCTTTCTTCTTTGGAATTCTGTCATAGTACCTTACTCATCTTGAGAAAAATTATCTCTTTCAACTATATGGCTTTAATGCTAATCTGTATTCATTGTCTTTTCTCCAATGTTTCCTCATCCATTCCCTCTGTATGATTATTTTAAATTTTTTGTTGATCCTAGATCACATCCGAATCCTGCAAATAATTTTTCACATTTTAGTACCTGAAGCATTTCTTATTTAGGAGCTTGAAGTTAAATACATGGAGAGGTGTTTGACAATTAAGGCATCAGAACTAAAGTAGCAAAGGAGCTGGGAATTTCTGCCTTCTATTTGTGTGTTTACTGACAAGGAGCCATTTTGACCTTAAAAGGAGCTCTTTGGTAGTTGTTTTGATACAAAGTACTAGACCTAATTAAGCTGTTTAATAACTCGTGGACAAAACTGTTCCAGCAAAAGCATCGTGGCTCTGGGTCAGATTTTCCTGTACTGTCCAGCACATTAAGTTGGTCAAGAATTCAAAGTGCTACTTTAGCTCTTTGAGCTGAGAAAATAAAACTACTTTAGCAAGTAGACAGTGATCTTTCTCATGTTACATACTATACTTTTTTACCGTTTCTGATACAGGGGCAATTTTGGAGCATTTAAGAGAAGAAATAGTTACTTGGAATAAAGAATTGAGAAGCAGTGTCTCAAGTGACTTAAAATATTTCTATTAAAAAATTCAAAGTATTAATTTTAAATATTGCTCTTTATTAAAATTGTAAAAATATAAATTTTTAGTGTGGACTTCCAGGTTAAGGAGAATATTAAATTTATGACTTACAGTGAACCAAATTCCAATGGTGGAAATATCACCAGTGTAATTACCCCCTTAACCTTTGAGCATCTGCCTCGTAGCAATTGGCTGTTGGCTGTTTTTGGGTTAACTCAGGAAAAATTCCAGTCTTGACTTTGAATTTCTCTGTTTTATGAGTTGAAGTAATACCTGGAATATGCCTGATGGTAACTTACAGATTTTGTGGTTCAAAATAATGCTTTGCTTTAGAGCTGGTCCCCACATTTTTAGCACAGAGGCTAAAACCTCAGACATTTTAATAGAAGTTAATGCTTTATGCATATGGTTGATATTGCTGTGGTGCATTTTATGACCCGTGAAGCTGTTGGCTGCTAGCATGAGCTTCAGAGATAGTGCATAGAATTATTTGAGTTGGGTTGTGTTTTTTGGTGTTGGGGTTTGGGAGAGTTTGTTGTTGTTATTTTGTTTTGTTTTGTTTTGTTTTTCATTTTATGCTTTTCCAGCATCATTGGTATCAGGAAATATTTTGAGTAGGGGCAAGAGGGGGCAAAATCCCCTTCCCTTTGAATATATGGCTTCATTTAAATCAGTAGGACCACTTTTTCACACTAGTGTATTTCACACTAGAGTTTAACACATCAGGTAATGCATTTTAGCTGATGACAGGTAGCTCTCTTCTTCATCATGGTCTTATGTTTGCAATTAAATTCTCCAGTTAGCTTGCCAACAAAAATAGCTTTAAACTCAAATACTGGTTTTTATTCACATTTGTTACTGCATTTTGGAGGTAGAGTTCAAGCCATGAACTTACTGCTTGTAAACAGTAAGGATGCAGTTATATTCTCAGAATGAGGAATCCTCCCACTGCCTTCAGTAACTCCCTTGTGTTATTCAATAACTCCCTTGCATTAGTTCTCTCTAGGAAGTTTTTAATGAGTTATGGGGCATGGCAATAAAGTTAATTACCGTTAATGGAAAGTTGCTTCAAAGTAATTGGTTACAGAAGTATAGGACATAC